TTTGTGGCTTTCTTCCTGGGCTTTCAAAGTCCCAAAAATGCTTCTCCACCAAGGGAGCGTGCCCCGCGCCTCGGCGTTCCCTGTTGTCGCTGCATCCCGATTTCACCCCCACATCGTCCCAAAGTTCCCGCATAAAAGAACTAGATGAAGTCCCAAAAATGCTTCTCCACCAAGGGAGCGTGCCCCGCGCCTCGGCGTTCCCTGTTGTCGCTGCATCCCGATTTCACCCCCACATCGTCCCAAAGTTCCCGCATAAAAATACTAGATGCAGTTACAGTGGGTATTTTCACCTGCACCCATTTAAGCATTGCTTTGAGGTCATGACCAGGAACATCCTTCCCATGTTTTCGAAGGAGAGCTTTCATAAGCTCGTAAACGTCTCTTCCCGGGGAAGACACTTGATTCCCCATGTTTCCCACAGCTCACCTCTCTACTCCAGAGGGACTGTTTGCCGGCCGGCTCCTGCTTCCTTTCAGCAGCTCACTCAAAGTTCCGTGGGACTCGCAGCAAGCCGCTCAGCTAGGCGGTTCGTCGACCCACCACGTCGGGGTCACCAATTTGCCACGATTAAGAGGCGGGACGCAGCTCGATGCAAGCAAGATGTCACTTTATTACAGTTACCCACATACATTTATACTTATCCCTACCTAGCACGCCCCATACCGATTGGTCTATTGGGCACACACTGATTGGCTAGCATAAGATAAGCAATTTAGTCAAACATCTTACTTCATCTTGCAACATCCTTTCTTATACAAAGAGTTGGTTCCTCCTTATCAAGGTCGGCTGCTTCCTTCTTTCACAATCTTTCCCACCTGTGATTGATGAATAAACATTGGGCCAGTATTGTTCCATTCTTATCAGCAAAGCTTTATCCTTATCTTACCTTATCCCATGGTTTAAGACCGACAAGTTCCAACAGGTCTCCTTCTATCAGCTGAACACTACTGGGAGTTCTGCTAAGAATAGCTACAGGAGATCCTGGACAGTACTTCTGCATCTTTTCAAATGAAGGTTATAAGCTTAAGGAGTGGACGTAGGCGGTTGTTTTAAAGTATGTATGTTCTGATTTCTGTACACATATACATATATATATCTGTCTGTAGCTATATCTAGCTGTTTAGATATTTAGATACACATATAACACTGGTGTGTGTGTAGACCAGACACAGTTTTGTGAAGTCAAACCCATTTATTTTAAAATATAATTGCATAAGACATGCTGTACTGGCATCTAGTTAATCATTGTCAGTGCTTATGAGCAGTGGAGGGGAAAAATCCCATGGTAATAGATCGACAGCTAATGAAACAGTTAATGAAACCGTTAATGAAACCTGTATTTGTTTGTAATAATTTTAATCAACTTCATTACCTTGTCCTTCATAATGAAAGGGTTTGTCTTATCTCACTCAGGGACAGAGCTGACTTTTAATTACAACCTTGACTGTCTGGGCAATGAGAAAACAGTCTGCAAATGTGGTGCCCCAAACTGCAGTGGATTTCTCGGGGACAGACCAAAGGCAAGTAATAGATTAAGAGATTTTGGCAGGGTCTTGTCTACTGGCCTTGTTTTCCTTCTGGGATATGCGTTGGTGGAGCAGTTGTATGTTATAGTAAGGGTCAGTGCTGCTTGAACAGATGCTAGCTGTCTTCTGAAGAAATAGCTTACTGTTTCCCTTGATGGAAGATGGAAACACTGTTTTGCCAAACGTACCCTTGGTGCTAAAGAATATGTTTTCATGCTGTGACAGTACAGCGGGAGATACTGGGTTTGGGAACACACCTAACTCTAGTCAGTGAGATTATTCTGACATTGCAGTTTATATATGCCCTGTCTAAGCCTTAAAACGTGACTACTTTGTTAAGATCTGTTAAAAAAAAATAGTTGAACTGAAGAATAAAAAAATGTGATTTTTGAATGAAGAAAAAATGGTACCAAATTACACCAAGAAATTGCCTGTATGATTTGTGTCAGGTTAATTTAAAACCTGTAATCCAGCAGAAGTTCATGGGGCCTCCTGAAGGGCTGGCATAGGAGTGCAAGGGAAAGTGCAAGTATATTTCCAAGAGGCTATGAAAGGCTGCACCTTCATGTGGTCTTTCACACTGTGCTCAGTACCAGGCAGGCACCTCAGAGGGTGGACTTAAAACTTCCAGTATTCCCATAGCTGGTTTCTGTTAAGGGATAAGCTTCAGTGAGGTTTCACATAAGCTTGTGATCAATTTACACAGACAGCCATGAGGAAATGAAATGTTACAGCTCAGTTTTGCAGGGCTCTCTGCATTGGTAGATAGAATGGGCTCATTTTAAAGAAAGTAGGTAATGATTACAGGGGTGAGAGGGAGGGAATGATGGAAGGAATGTTGAAATGGGATCCAGAATGAATTTTCTTATGGTTTGGTGAAGGAAAGCCGAAGTGCAAGCAGCAGAATGTCAGACTGAAATAGAGATAAGGTTTGGTATATTCTTGCCAGGATTATGGGCACAGCTCCAGCTCTGCTGTCCATTCCTCAAAGAGAAGTGGAGACTGGTTTTAGTAATTCCAGCATGAATATACACAACTGGAAGAGAAGAATGGATATTGAAGTGATCAGTCATGCAAGAACAAAAGGAGTGTAAATTAGCCACAAATAGATTAGACTGGAAATTGGAAGACCTTTTTTCAGTGATAAGAAAGTGGAGAAGCTTTCCACCAGGAAGGGGTTGCAGGGACAGGATCTGGTTTCAAGATGACTTTTCGCAAGGGTCATGGGGGACTTTTGTGAACACAGATGGGTACTTGAGGCACTGGACAGGCCTGCACCAAGTCAAAGCGTGCATGGTCTGCCAGGCACGACAGCAGTTTTTCTAGGTTGTGTAATGGTTTTCCTTTGCAAAACTGGCATTTACAGATTTGCATCTTAACCCTTTCAGAATTCTTCCACTAATGCCTCAGAAGAAAAAGGCAAAAAGACCAAAAAGAGAACACGGAGACGCAGAACAAAAAATGAAGGGAAGAAAGAATCTGAAGATGATTGTTTCCGTTGCGGTGATGGAGGCCAGCTGGTGTTGTGTGACAGGAAATCTTGTACTAAAGCTTATCATCTCTCCTGCCTTGGTTTGGTGAAGCGTCCTTTTGGTGAGTCGAACTTGCCTCTTAAACTCGTGCAGGTACTTCATTTATTGTGCTGAAACCTTGTCAAGAGCGTCAGCTTGAAAACACTGTGTTCGTATGGTGAGAACTTCATTTGTGCATCATGTAGGAGCTCTTCTTGACTATGGAGACGAAACGATGGCCTTCCTCCTGCCTCTGTGGCAAAACGAGCCCTTAGTATTACAAATGTAGGTAATTGAGTACATCCCTGGTTGGAGCACTGTAGCTCTGTCAAGCAAGTAGATTATGTGTCAGAAATGTATGAAGCCAGTTGAGTTCAAGCCAAAAGAACAGCATCTGGAACAAGGTGAGTGGGAAAATGTTAAGGGCAGCAGACACCAGGTTGTAGTTCCAGATCAGACAGGAGTTACCTGGTTCCAGTCAGCCATGCAGGTGGGATATGAAGTGAAGCAGGCAAAGCCTCTTACCCCAAAACCAGTCTCTTACCCCAAAACCAAGTAAAACAATGTCTGGTAAAATGTGCTGGGGCAAAAGAGCATCAGTAGGTAAAGCACAGCAGATATCCCTGAGCAAAACCTGCAACTAACAAGTGAGCGTTGTAGTGGTAGTTGGCAGTTGACTGGATGCTGGGATACTCTACGAGCCTGCAAGTTCTGTAAGATGCTACTGAGTAAAGCCTGAGTAATTTCTTCTAGCTGGAGTTAACTGCTGTATTTAAGAGAGGTTGTCACATCTGCTACTTACTGCTGTCTGTTGTGCTTTAGAAATATGATACAGCAGTTTGATCTTTGAAATTAGCCCTGGTAGGTGCTTTCTCATCTCGCCTTGTCAGGAGTCGTGTGTTTTTCAGCTACTAAACCACAAAACTTCTTTAAAAGATGATGCCAGGTTTTACTCCCCACTGACGAGCTCTTTGTCTTTGATCACAGGGAAGTGGGAGTGTCCTTGGCACCACTGTGATGTTTGTGGCAAACCTTCTGTTTCTTTCTGCCACTTCTGCCCAAATTCTTTCTGCAAGGAACACCAAGACGGGACAGTACTAAATTCTATGTTGAATGGACAGTTATGCTGCTCTGAACATGTTCTCGGGGTGGATTCTGTTGAGACTCAGAAGACTGAGAAACCCCGCAAAAAACTGAACAAGTTGAAGCCTAAGAGAAAGCAGAGGAACAGATGGATGAGAGCTGAATGCAAATAGTCATGGACTGCAGTTTCTACTGCCAACACTATCTTGTAGATAAGTTGTGAATATGACCAGGGAAGGACACAATTTTACATATATTCTGTAAAGGATACATGGGGAGGGGGGGATTTTTTGTTTTGTTTTGTTCTTATAAATCCACTGAGCCAACCACAGCAGTCTTCTGCTGCTTCTGCACTGATACCGAACTGCATAGTTCAGAGAATTTCAGGACAAACCAAACTTATTACTCAGCATTACAGTTACACTTGAATTGTTACGAATGTAAAAGGTTCCCTCCAAAATACTTTCACATTTGGAGGTAGGTTAAAATCAAACCAGGTAGGCGTAAACATAGGGTTTTTGAGATAGTATTTGTCAACCAACAGATGTTTAAAATAGTATATCCTCGAAAGAAGTTACTAGCTCGCAAGTCCTTTTAAATAAGAAATGGCTTGGTCTGTGGTCCCAATGAAATTTGCTTGCCTTGTGTGTTTTTGAGCAAGTGCTTGAATGCCATTCATGATCCAGGTGCGTATCTCGCCATCACCACACACATAACAATTTGTTCGTGCTTTTATAAAATAGCTCTCCAATGTTGCTTAAACAACCATGTTTTTAAATACCCTTCCACCAAGAAATGTAGTGCGTGGTGGGAAAGGCACACCCTGTACCAGAGAGGGGAAATCTTACGTTTAAGAGATTTTTTTCTATACTGTTTTTTCCTGTATTTCATTCCAGTGAAATAGAAGTGGTCTTGATCTTGCAGAGCTGTACAAGTCTGGATTTAAAGGGATATTGTCTTGCAATCTAGGCCCAATACTCTAGGAATTTTATGTTTTAATAAAAAAATCTCTTACAAAACCTAGTATTGGAAAAAATCACTCCATTTTTTTTATCTTCTTTTCCCTTAATGTCAGCTAAAACACAGAGGCAAACGTTTCTTTGGAATGCTTGAAGCCCAAGCATTGCACTTTGCGATAAGGCAAAAAATGCCCAACAAGGAACATAAAGAAACCCCCATGAATGAAACAGAAGGTGACACTTGCCTGAAGTGCAAAAGCTAAACTAATTAAAAAGTGAGATAGGTTTTTGAGGAAGCACGTAAGGAACAATTTTAATGTGAAATTTAGCCTGTTCCTCTTGATAACCTTTGTGTAAAACTGGCTACTTGACTTGGCAGACTGAAACGAGCTCTGCTCTCGACTATCTTATCGCCACTGTGTTGTGTCAGCGAAGCTGTTCTGAGTTCTTTGCTCCGTTAGGTTCTCACATTTGCAGTGAGATGAATATACAAGATTTAGTATTGATGGAAATAATGTTAGAACTAGGAAAAAACGGTAAAGAAAAAGGTCTTTACCTGTTTTGTTCCCAGTGCATGTCATTGGTGTGTGATTAGGCAGTGTTACAAGTAAGTTGACTTGTGCCATTGTTATCTAGCCTACGTAAACACAATGTGCGCCTTCATGTCCATGTAGTAATTTGTGTATGTTCTAGCTTAGTTTGCCTTTAATAGCGCAGAAACTCTGTGTAGCCCTTTTGAAGATGAAGCCTTGCTATATCATAAAAGTGTATGGGGTTTTTGCCCCAAAGTATTTCTTCAGGATTTTATTGCAGATTTAGTTTTTGGAATTCTCGAAATCCCTATTTGTTCCCAACACGTAAAAACGTTGGTTTTATTAGAAGAGATTAATTGAAAGAGGTTTTAAACGTAGCATTGCCCTATCCTGAACCCCTTGGTTTCTATTTTGTGACCAAACTGCTTTGTTCTTTTAAGCAATTTTTATAAACACTGTTGGAAGGTTGATTTATTTTTTTTATTTTCAAATGATTTGGAAAAAAATAGCACAATTCCAAGCAGGGGGAAGTGTTCCATGGTTCTGTTTGAAAGTGGTTTGCCAAGCCCTGCACTCAGGCTAAATACAAATCAAGGTTTAATTGACTTGCAGGGAAACCTTCCCTCTGCTATAGGTAGTTGTTACACCCGGACTGAAGCACAGGCCTGTGTCTAAAATCAACCCCAAAAACTGGTACTATGTACGTGTCTCTGGTTTTTTAGGGGAGGAAAGTGCGATCAGGTAGTAAAGCAAGACAGGTTTTCCTCATTGCTTTTAAACAAAATGAAGGATTTTGATGGCATTGGGACCATTCTTTGAATACTGAACCATGTAAGGAAGGCTTTAGAAGAATACCTTTAAATAAGTTATTATAAAATTTTACCTTTTCATTCCATTGCTTTTACAATTTGTAAGTTTCTTTTAGTTGTTTCGTTGCTTTTTCCTCTTCGTGTATAGGTGTAACAGCTCTGGCACCCTGGAACAGTTATGCCCCAGGTCCTAAGAGGCAGATACCCACTTCCAGAAGCCACCATCTCAGATAGTTCCCGATGGACACAGTAACACCAGCTGGTTTATGATCGGTCGCGGAGCCTACGACTCCCTGCCTGCCTCTCAGGTGGGCTCACAAGCACACTTAGTACGGCAGGATGCAGGACAGCCACCCATCTTGGATCTGTCTGGGGGTAAAGAAAGACCTTGGTGTTCAAAGCAACCCCTCTCGGCGCTCGTTTCACAAGGTTAAAGTTACACAGACAGGTCTTAGCAAGTGGCTTTTTGACTTCCTGCTTCCTTCTACCTCTTCTCTGCTCTTCACTACTCAACTCTTTGGGCCAATGAAGGCTTGCATCACTGAGACTGCAGACTAGGAGTTTGCTTTGGAGTTGCTGGGAATTCATTCCATCTGCTGATCACATAAAAGAAATGTGGATCATGTTCTCCCTTTTAAGACGTACTGACCGTGTAACCCCGTGAGCTCAGCGGAGTCACTCAGGTGGTGAGCTGGTACAACTTCAGTCTCTGAATCAGGAAGGTGGGGTTTAGGTGTCTTTTCATGAAGGCTTCTGTTACCTTACGCTGCAGCACTGGGAAAATAGGCTGAGGGTTTGTTAAAAAGAGAAGACAAAAATTGTTTCACTGTTTTCCTTCTCCCCCTGTTCAAATACAAGGGAAAACGACCTTGGAAAATTAAGCTTTCACTCAATACATTTTAGCATTCAGCATCCTGAAAGATTTTCTGTTATAAATTCACCTAAATAACATCCAAATATGGCCTAATATGTGGGATTAAATTATGTCCTTAGTGTCTTGCCCACCGAAGTAGAAAGATGTCTTTCCTTTTCCAAACCTGGTACATAACAGCCAAATTCAGAGTTTGTTGTTCTTTTTTCACATGAGCAAGCGTGGAACCAATTTTCAGTTGAATATATTAGATGTGTTTTCATACAGTCTAGGAGGAATAATCAAATTAAATGTCTGTTTTGTTCAGTAGCTTCGTGTTCATGGTCAGTTTTTAGATTATTTTTAATTTGAATTACTTGGAAAAGCAGAATATCTTGAAAGACGTATTAATGGGGTTTTCCACATTGTTGAGTCACGTTATTCCATGTCTGACTGCTTGAGAAACTTCAGTGTCTTATTAAATATTAAAATTTATTCCTAGTTATTTAAGAAGTTGCTAATTCTTTTTTTTAATGGCTCTAAATGGTTATTTTTGCACCAGTTGTTTTTTCTTTAAGCTTTTAAGTAAGTCAGATGATACGTAGTAAGCAAGAGTTGGGCAGGGAGGGAACTGGTGGTTGTTCTTTCTTATACTTCAGGGCTTCCTAAGAGACTCCTTGGAAATAATGTTTTAAGCTGAATGGAGGTGACACTGTGCTTTGACTCATGTTCACAGCATTCCTTAACACACAAATATTGACATCTTTTGCAGTCCCGTTTTTCCCATGACAGAGCTGTTTCCTGTGGCACATTATTTTATAGACTTCAGTGACTCCGAGCTGGAATCGTACAGTCCCAGCAGTTCAGTTCCTTTGGCTTCGTTCAGCTGGTGCTGCTCCTCCTTGGTCAGGTCTGAATGTGACTGTGTTCTGCTCTTTCAGCCAGGTTTTTGCTTGGGTCTGGTTTGACTTCATGTGTGGAATCTCCCATGTCTGGCAGCAGCTGCATCTGGGGCTTTTTAAGAGCATTTCAGAAAATTGCTTTGATACAACCAAACAAACAGGTCAGTGTTGTGCTGAGATCATCTGGTGCTGTACATCATGACCTTGTCCTTTTGCTGCTCCTATGATAAGCCACATACTTTTGCCAGTTGAGAAACATAATGCCTGTCTAGTAAATGAACAGTGTGAGAGAGACTGTTGCTGTGCAGCAGAGTTTGAGGTATGTTTATAGGTACTATCCCTGTTGCTGCTGATACAGATTAGAATCACAGAATGGTTCAGGTTGGAAGGGACCTTAAAGCTCATCCAGCTCTAACTCCCTGCCACGGGCAGGGACACCTTCCACTAGAGCAGGTTGCTCCAAGCCCCTGTGTCCAACCTGGCCTTGAACACTGCCAGGGATGGGGCAGCCACAGCTTCTCCGGGCAAGAGAAGACCACAAAGGCCAACGTACCTCTCTTCCCATCACCTTTATTCATCTGACACAGTTGAGAGAGAGCAGACAACTGATGTGTTTTATTATTGTTGTTAAAAATGCAGTAACACCTCCCCTGGGGAAAGGAGAATGAGCAGCAGAGGTCAGCAACCACTTAACCCCCCACCAGCTGGGTTACTTCAGCTGACTGCTGCTGCAGTGAAAGACTAATGTGAGAAGTGACACCTGCTTCCACCTCAGTGCGTGTTCATTTAATAGATCTTTTAATAGCAGGTACTATTTTTACTAGCACTTGTAGAGCTGCTGAAGTACAGTGCTGTGATGCAGGGTCACAGCTGGCTGGTCTGCCTGGAGGTACACAGCTCACCTACCATGCGTATGCATTTCAGTGCAGGAAGAGAAGGAAGGCAAAGTGGTGGGAAGGCTGAGAGACCAAGTTACTGATTTCATGGAGCAGTTGAAACTGGCTCCGTTACAGTCTATGGGCATTTCTGAGAGCCTGGAATGCTGGTGAGACCTCAAATGGCCATGCAGAAAGCTAAACATCAGCGTGAGAAAACACAGCAGGGAAAACAGAGCAAACAACAAGGTTATAAAGAGAAGATTCAACCAACCACACAAAACACCTACACAGTTTGAAATCAGCCCTGCAACTCTCAAACACACGAGGTTAACCAGATGGTTAAATCCCATCACAT